TGAATGAAAACCAACAACTGTTTGAATACTTATTCTTGGGTTATAGACACTAATGTCTGATAGCGTGAGACAAATGATCACCAAATGAATCGTCAAATTCTGGAATTTCCTATGATTTCTAAGAATAAATTTCTCAATTAGTTTTTATTTCTCAATCATACATTACATAACAATAATAATTAATTTACTCGTCGATGGCATTATAAAACATTTTTTTTGTTATTCATTTGAGTGTCGTTTCATTTCCTTATTCTAACAAATCCTAAACTAAAGAGATTTTTATCTCATGTGTAGGCAAAAGGATTTTCTACACAAATTGGTTTAAGTTAAATAAATATAAGATAGAAATAAATATGTGATAATAAATTCATATTACGGCTTAATTGAAACAAATCCCAACTCAATCGCACTCAAACTCTATGGAAACTCTAATTAATTGTTATATTTAATTACATATTCATTAAATACCCTTATTATGAAATATTGATCTGCGGTAGAAATTCAATACATAACTAATTTACAATAATTAATTCATATCCATGAATATTCTGCAATATTCCTATAAAACCTCATCTAATAATCGATTCTAAAAATAAAGTATATAATACATTCATACAGTAACAACAATACATATCTAATATATTCATGCATTAAGAATACAATAATGAATTCAAATAACTTATTTGTAATTCAAACCAGTTTTCAGTCAATTCTCTGTAAAATTCATTACTTTTAAGACAAAATATGAAAGAAAAACATAAAACCACACAAAAGACAAAACCTAAAGATAAGAATAAAGAGACCCAAAAGCCAAAAGAGACCAAAAAGACCCTGAACAATCCCAAAATGGACGCCGAAGCCCGTCACGACACATCCACTCAAGACAGGACTAAACTATTTTGTCCATATGTCTGCTGTCGACCAACATTTGGTGTCATATCGATGATATTATTTCTCGCGTCTCTCCACTGCCTTATATATGTGTGTTATGTATACGTGAATACCGCCGACTGTTCCCAATGCCAGGCCCACAGCGAAGATGTGAAATGCAATTATTGCGATACAGCGGTCGACCATTTCGTATACAAAGACCAGACCTTTGATCGAAACCAAATGGTCGCCTATTTAGCGGTCATTATGTTAGTCCGATGCCTGGCTTTCTTCACCGGTTTCATCGGCGTCTTCCTCATCAACGTCTATCTAATGACAACTTATCTCATCCTTTACTTCGGTCTCATAATAGCCTTTCTCTTAGACTTAGTTTTTATTGGGATTGAAGGTTAACTCAATTAGCGTGCATTTCAATTGGTTTACACTAACAGTGCTTTGATTTGATAGGGAAACCCGTCAAAGAGTTCATGTTTGGCGGGACCAGAGTGTCACTCGCTATTTGGTTATCAGTCTATGTGTTGGAAATGAGTCTATTCATAATGGGCTTAGTCTTAGCGCACAAATACGTGTTAGTAAAGTTTCAGAAATAAAGTTTTATAGCAAACATCGCTAAACACATCCAAACTATACATCTATAGATTCATTATTTATGCCTCCATTAGATAGCAAACAAAATTCAATTCATTAAATAAAACTTTGCTGTTAACCAGAAATGTTTTGCAATCATTTAAAATGTTACAAAACACTGAAAAAATGTCTCCACTGGTACCAGTGTAATTTACTACAATTATCCAATATTAATATTAATAATTAATCATTCAATTAAATAAATTGTATGTAAAGGGCAAACAAAAGCATATGATTGCTGACGTAATAATAAACCGTTTAAATATAATTAACTTAAAAATAATGAAATGAAATAACATTTTTGAAACAAATTAAATATTTTATTAAAGTGTTATGTGTTTTCATAATAATAATAATCTTCAAAATACAAAAGTATTACCACTTTCAACATATAGAATATCTATTTGTGTAGACATTGTGTCAGAGATTATCATCGCTTAAGAACTTTCTCTTTTTATTTGTATTCATATAAGGCTTAAGAATCCATTCAGAATCGGCAGCGTTTGCGATGTCAATGGTTCCCAATTTTATTTCATACAATTTCATCTCAAATCGGGGCCCGACTTCCGACAACTCTACCTTTCCGTCCACTTTCTTATAGACGTGATGTCTAAATGAGATGAAGTCGTCTTCGTTGGCGAAAGTCATCACACGTTTGGAGTCCTCTTTGGGCACTGGAAACAAATACTTCAATATATTCATCACTCGTCGGCCTAATCGGGACTTCAGATTATGAAAGATGAGGTGGGGGTAGGCCTCGGACATGGTTCCCATGTTGGGGATGTCGTGTCTCATCACTGTATTCGTCAACTGGAAGTAAGCGGTCGGTCCGTACGGCAGGTGACAGATCACGAGACCGTCGGGCTCTCCACGGG